GTGCGTGCGTATCGCGCGCGGTCGCGCCATCGTCACGATTATTCGAATGCACTATACAACTGTTAGGTTGTCTCATACTTTTTTACCGTTTATTACACCCATCGTCTTTTTGTATCTTTCCTAAACTGAGTAGGCTTGAGCGATCATTCGACAAGAGCAAAGCAAGCTCTTCAAGATGGGTATCAAGAGTCTGCCTAAAACATGTTTTTTTGTAGTTTGAAGCTGAAACCTGATAGTAGTCGAGAAGTGAAAAATCGTATCGCCGTTTCAAGTACCTAAAAAATGCCCCCTTTATTCTAGCATAAGCTTAATAATAGCATATGCTATCGTATTCAATTGCAGACTTTCGTATTTTTTCCATAGCAAGAAATAAAGAAAAAAATGATAGGAGTGAAATGGCAAACTCCGCCCCAGATGTCCTCCCTCTTACACATGTGATCATATAGCTTATGCATGCAGAAGTACGATCATGTATCTGTACCTTTTGTAGGCGCGACAGTTCTCGAGGAATGCTGATTTTTAGTGCAAATACGGTAAATAATCATGAGACACCCCAATACTATCGTTTCAAAATCTTCGCTTTCTCGGTCATTGTATTCTAGAAAAGTGATTCAAGAGTGCAGACGACATGATAATAGCCGTCATACCTGTTCAAAATGATTGATTTCCTTTCGGTTTACGCGACTGGGATGCACAACAAAAAGCGAATAGGTGGAGAACTGAATTTAAAACATTGGGATGGATTTATGCATTTACATGGGAGATAATTTCGGTAAGGATGGTAGAAAATAATACGTCATTCTAGATACATCAAAGTGCGAAGCCAGTATCTGAGCTAGTAGAGACCATAGCTAAATGACAAGCAGCTTTCTGAAAAGACCTTTTCGATCTGCAAAGAAAGCACCCGCTTTTGAAATTTCTAATATTGAAAGAGAAGCCAAAAAGAGGAAAGATAAATTGAGTGACGTATAGTGAATCATGTCGGAAACTCAAAACGCAACATCATGAAAGAAGGAGTCAATTGGCTTCATCGCTTTGCGCGCTCTGCCTTTTTATGATCCAAGCGAGTGATGCAAAAGTTCAGAGAGTACAGAGCGAGAAATCGCCAATACTATAAATTTTTGATGATAACTCGCTAGAAAAGTAAAAAAGGAGAATCGAGTCCAAAAGAAGTGCTATACGAGAAATCCCGTCCAATTTAGAGAGCTGCAATGGGCTTTGCAGTCACATCCTAACTGGCAACAACACTGTCTACTGAATGTGAAAATGAAACGAAAAATACCAAATGCTTCATGAAACGACGAAGTGGAACAAGAGAAGACTCGGGAATCCCTAAAGCTTTGGTCGTAAGAATGAAGGGAAAAGTGGAGAATGACTGCTTTCAATATAGAAGTTTGGCGAAAGCTTCATATTTGGGTGTAAGGCGTGCAGACAAGATGATTATTAAGAAAGCTGAAGAATGTATAGGTCTCCAAACTACCGCACTATATCATTCGCCAGTTACGCTATGAAATCCACTAAAAACATACAGGGACATACATCTATTTCACAGATCGCTGTGCTATATGGTTACATTCTCAACGCCATTTTCTCAGTTGAAGACCCTTGCGAGTTTCATTACTGTAGTTTCCCATCTTTGTACTTCAGTTTCTCACAGTATGGCTATAGAAGTATAGCAATATTAGCTGTTAAAATTGCATGTGGTGCTTGGTGGAGAGGATAACTAGGATTTTGGGTGCGATATTTGGTTCTACGCAAACTTTGCAATTTCATGCATGGTTATCATTTTTTAATCATATCGACTGAAATTTCTAATAGCAGTTCTCCGACCAACAAGTGACGAAAGCCGAGAGATGTCTTCGTTACGAATAGCCGACAAGTTTTGTCCCGCTTTCTCAGGCAATCATTAGCTATCGAGTTTTTCGCAGGTGTAATCGTAGAGCTTGGCAACAATGCATGCATGAAAGGTATGCAACTGACCGTAGAACAGGATCGAGATCTTGTCGTCCTTGCATCGTTCTGCATTGAAATAGCACAGATTCGTGTAAGTGAGGAAGTTGCTTCCACACACTGGTTTTTCCTCTGATGAGCAGTTTTTCTAAACAATATCCGGAGGAAGTGCCATTAAAAGTGAAATATGGAGTTTACCTTGTCACACAGTGCTTTCAAACAGTACTCTTCAGGTTGAGTGGATAGGTTTATACCGTCCTTTGCTGCCATGCATCGCGCATGCAAAAACATGCACACATTTCTAAATTGGTCCCAAAATCACTTCTACAGGCCCTAGGCTTT